CAGGCTCTGTACACAATCGAATGTAAAGTTGCAATCGCAATATATGAACAAACTCAAAGAGTTGACATTCGAACACAAAACTCTGAAAATGCCAGTCGATGGCATGAGTACAGAGTTTAACTTCGCAAAACAGTACCAAATAGATCTTCCCAACCGGGACATGTGGCTAAAAAACCAAGAGTCTCACAAAAAGGGCAGTCATGTTTGGTTCACAGATGGATCCAAGAAAGGATCTGATGTAGGGTGCGGTATCTATGGCCTTAAGCCTAGATTTGACATGATTGTCAATCTGGGCAAGGAGGCCACCATCTTCCAAGCCGAGGTCTTCGCCATCAACAAATGTGCTGAAGTCATCCTGGAGAGGAAGCTTAGAAACCAAAATATCTACATCAACTCAGATAGCCAAGCAGCACTTTTGGCTATAGATTCTCTTGAGACCAACTCTAAGCTGGTCAAAGACTGTAAGGAAAATCTGAATGTCCTGGGCACATCCAACAGAGTTACCCTCAGATGGGTCCCGGGTCACTCAGGCATAGATGGGAATGAAAAGGCTGATGCACTGGCAAGAAGGGGTGCTGAAACCCCAGTATGTGGCCCAGAACCATTTGTGGTATTGCAAAACAACATGCCTATTCAATTCTCAAAATTCACTGCAATCGCCAAGCACTTCAAGAGTGGCAATCCACTTCTGGACAAATACACTCTAAAGCGCTAATTAAGGGATATCGCAGAAAGTTTACAAAAGAGTTGCTTCAACTCAACAAGTATAAAACCAGTGCAGTAACCAGAATACTTACTGGTCACTGCAAACTCAATAAACATATGTTTACCCTCGGCCTCAGTCAGACCGCAATGTGCAGACTATGCCATGAGACAGAGGAAACTGCTATGCACATCCTCTGCTCGTGCGGTCCACTCAAGCACCGCAGAAGTATCTATCTAGGGCAGCATATTATGCAACCGGAAGAGATACAGATGCTCCCCGCTCAGGAAATCTGGAAGTTCCTGGAGTCAACAGGACTAAGCGGAGAACTTTGAACTCATTATAAAGGGAGCTACAATGGACCTAAACTGGTCGACGTAGCTAAGGGCCGACCTCGGCACCACACCCAACACAATAATAATAATAATCTAGTCATTAGATTCGTCTTGGTAACGTGAGTGTTATAAGCTAAATAGATATTATTAAAAAACAATGGCGGCGGATCAAAGACGCCGATTTGTGTGTCTTGAAAATTCTTTTTCTTCTAAACCTATTGAGTGGGATATCAATTTTTTTTAAGGAGGCTATCACTATCACAAAAATATGTATATATAGTATATGTTTATAAGTAATTTAGGATAAGAAATTGTTAAATAAAAATCCAAATGCCTAACTGGCTACAACTAAAAAATTAGATTCTAGATTGGATTAGTTTTCCATACAGAATACTCAACATATTAATAAAAATATTCAAATATTTATTTAATAAAATAATTTATTTTGTTTTAATTAATCAGTTTTATTGAAATATATCTGCTACTTATTTGTTTCTTATATCAGTCAAAATTTATTGAACCTTACAAATCACACGATAATCGTAAATAGTACGTACAGTTATTTTGTATCGAACTGCTATATACAATATACTGCGTAGGTACATAATAAAAATGATAAAGAATATTTTATGGTTGTTGTACTATCGAGACATATTAGGTCAGCTTTAAATTTATTAAAAACTCAGATATTAAATCAGAATTTCTAATTTGTAGATGACATGATACTTATATTTTAACAGTGCAAGTAGGTAGGTACTGTATGCCTGTCAATGTGTTTGTAAAATGATGTCGCTATTATCTATACATATAATAAAATTGTAACTAAGCCGAATCTGTACATTGAATAGTTTTTGGAAAATCTTATTGAAATAAACATTAATATCGATACAGAGGCCAAATCTATAGTGTTTAGAATTTTTGTCTGTCTGTCTGTCTCTTACCGCATCACAGAAAAATCACTGGAGGGATTTTGATGAAATTTGGTATGGTGATAGCTGGTTAACCGGGTCAACATATAGGATAGTTTTTACCGCGGGAAAATGTCTCATTTATGAGAAAAAATACAAAATCTAATTTGTAAAACCTAAGAATTTGTTTTTAGTCATCTGGACGCGGTCGGAGCCGCAGGCAATGCTAGTTATATAATATATCTAGAAAGACTCATTTTCTTTTTTTCAACATTCATTCTGTCTTCCTATAAGGAAGATTCATTTTCGCCGGTAAGTTGTTGTTCCATGAAAATTTTAAAAGACCTTGTATAGTTGTTGCCTGTTAATTGTGCGTTATATATTTTATGAATATTATTTCATATTTATGAAGGGTTATTATTTAAGATAAATTAAAACTTTTGTAGTATCTAATGAACATCGCTACACAAACCGAAAACTTGGACAAAAAAAATTTAAACCTACTCGAGACTAACCCGATATAATTGCTTTTACAATATTAACTACCCCTAGCGCTGGATTTACCTACACTAGGGGCACTTGGGGCTAGTGCCCAGGGCGGCAAATTCTTAGGGGCGGCAAAATTCGAATGATAAATTAAAAAAAAAAGTGTTATCGAAAATGTTTTTTTATTTTCCAAAAAATGAATAATCATTAGAAAAATATTACTATTTTTTGCAATTATCAAAAATTAAAAAAAATCAACTTTATCGAAACTTCATCAATTTTATGCAAAATTTCGATAATGGGGAGAAATTTCTTACATTGCCCAGGGGCGGCGCTAAGGTTGAATCCGCCACTGACTACCCCATTGTGTTGATTAAGAGAAAATGTGCCAATAAGAATGGGGAAGATTTCTCTAGAGGAGGGCGCCACACGTATAGTCTATTTATATTTAAATCTCTGTCTGAGATTAAGCAATTTATTGTGATATTTCTTTTGTACCTGGTTTTTTTGCTTCTATTGTGTTCACGTCTTACCTGTGTAATGTATTGTACCTGAAAACCTGGAAGTTAGACCAGCTGAACGAAGAATCTCGAAGGAGAGGTGCATCCAGCGGTCGTCCTGACTGACTGATAGATCAACATACAGCCTAAACCGCTGTTTGTAGAAACGTAAAATTTAGAGGACGTATTCCTTATAATAATGATGTAGGCATTCGATAAGAAAGGATTTTTCAAAATTCATCTCCTACGTGAGTACAATAGAGGATTAAATATTGTATGAAACTCTGTCGGTCGGGAGAACATCATTCTTAAGATGAAACACACAGAAGGTGGTGTTTAGCTTTAAGATAAAAAAAAGAAATATATATTTTTTTATATTTTTCGAAACTCATCCCTTAAAGATTTATATGGGCAAAGAATTATTTATATTCAGAATTACTTGAAACATGGTATTAATGGTTTTCAATACAATTAAATAAATACATGTTTCAGCATTTTTCAAAATTCAATTCCATAAGGGGGTAAAATAGGGGATGAAAGTTTGTTTGTAACTCTATAATTAATATGTAGAAAAGTACAAAAAATAAAGAATAATTTCACCTGTAGAGGATTTAACAGTTTTAAAATCACATTCTGCAAAATTATGTCCACATAGCCTTAAATATAAAAATTGTGATTTCGCCAACTTTGGTTCTTTCAATATTTTCAATTTCTTCAGTTTTTGTCTTTTGGGAACAAACGGATATCAATCCATTTTCTTTGCATCCTGGCACTGCACAATTTGTGATTTTATTTAAATTTTAAATAAAGTGAATTAAAAATCCATCCAGGCTAAAGAGCTTTACAATATATATGAGGACTGTAGTGATCGCGACATCTGGCGGGATAAAATGGCAAAATTCTTCCACATTAATAGACTAACATATTAGGTCTCGTTTATTTTATTGTTCACTTTATCGATTAATGTTGATAATTATTTGTAATAATAGAATTATTATTCAAGGCAGAAAAAATATTTTACTCTATTTTTTTTTATCTACAACTTGAAAAAGAAACAAGAATAATATTATAAAAAATTATATGGTATTTAAAACTAAATTATAAAACGTAATTTTCAAAATTACAAATTAATTCATAGAACTTACTATGATGATTATTATGATATATGTACTTTTTTTTTTAATTATTATAGCATTATGTTAACTGAACGTATACTCTTATGCTGCTGTCATACAATATTTGATTTCGTTAACTATCTTGTTTAAAAACATTAAAAAATCAACTGGCATTGTTTGAAGCAAAAAATAACAAGAAGATAGATATAGAACTTAAATATCCCGTCTTAATTTCTACATTTGTTAGTTCCTGATTTAAATACTGCTATTGCTATACTAATCGCATTCGTTAAAATTCTCAGTGCGTGACCAGCATTACTATTGGAACTATTATATTATTAATTAAATTGGTAACTCTACAACAATATCACATTACGAGGTATAGGGAGGTATAGAGAGATCTCAGATATATTTAAAAAGTATTATAAATTAATTACACCACATGAATAAATTAAGAAAAATATTCTTTAAATTAATTTGATTAATTATTATTATTATTAAAAATTATTATTTTTGTTTAAATAAGTCAATATTTAGTTTAATTATCTATTTATACTATACTTTACTTATAAAATGATATTAGATTTAAATTTTAAATTCAGATAAAAGGGCAAAAATATTTTATCTTTATTAATGCTCTCATTATAATTAAACAAAATTTTTGCGTTCTAAAATATTTTTAATCTTAAATATTTTTGTGATAATAGTATATGAGTATTTTCTCCATAACTTTTATAGAGACAAAAGCCTCATTGAATTAGAATTGTGTCATCTGTGAATTTCTAGTCTATGTCATCTGTGATTCATTTCGTTACATGAATACGTCAAAGCTAAATTTGTCGATTTAATTGTCATCCATGATTCTTATTTACTGAAAAACCACACATTTATCCATTCTACAGAAACTACTGTATAGAAATTAAAACACACCAACTGTACTTACATTTTTAATCATGCCACGTGGTGAGTTCTTTAACTTTAATTTTTCCACAATTTCAATGTCGACCAATGTTATTAAGAATGTGCTTTTTGTTAGCTCTTTAACCTGTTAATATTTATGTATTGTAGGAAAGTATACCAACCATAAAGGACGCAACCGTAAGTTTACCAGTCCCGAGGAGTTAGAAGAACAAAGAAAACAGGAAGAGCAGAAACAAAAGCAAGTATTTTTACGCTTAGATAATTACAAAGTTTAATGCTTTTATACTTTGTTGTACCGGTTAAACTTGGAGTGCATTTGCAGTTAATGTATGCTTGCTTGTATGTTAAACTTATTTGTTGGTTTCTCTGAGAAACATTAGATTCGTACACCTATAAAAGGTAATAATAATATTGTTTGGATTATTGTTTTTTTATTTCACAAATCTATTTATAATTATTCTCGATATTTCTTATGTTTTTTTTCAGATGGAGAAAGGAGCATGGAGATGTTAGCTCTAGTGAAGAAGATTCTGAAGGGAATAAATCTGGTTCAGATAACAGTGATGATAGTGATTCAGATGAAGATGTAAGGCTATTTAAAGCATTTTAGTTTGTTTGAATTATTTTAGAAGTTTAGATTACTGTTTATGAATAATAACCCTAAGTTGAAGTCTAGTACCAATTTTATATGTGGAAAAGATGTTTTGAGTCAATATTTCTGTTGAAAACGAAGACAACATGAATCATAGCATAATGAGGTCTGTTTTTTCTGTACGTAGGCAATTTTCACCCATTGTGCATGGGTTAGGTTTAGGTTTACCAATAATATTAATATATTTGATGAATGTTTCCACAAACAATATATTTATCCTTATGAAATCATACAATTTTTTGAAGTTTATAATTTAAACTAGAAATCAGGTATAAACACACCTAGTAACATTTTATTAGTTATTTCATTCATTTAATACTTATAGCATCCAACGAAAGCCAAGGGTGTGTCTGGTCTCATTGAAGTAGAAAACCCAAATCGAGTTGTAAAGAAGAATAAGAAGCTATCAAATCTAAATGCCATAGGTGAAGCAGAAAAACCTCAACTTTCAAGGTTAGTAAGATATGTTTAAGATTAAGACATTTTTTTTCTTTAAAGGAATAAAATTCATACAAGGCAATCCTAAAATTACGAGTTCACCATATATACCAAATTTCATCAAAATCTCTCCAGTGGTTTTTCTATGATGCGGTAACAGACAGATAGACAACAATTCGAAAAACTATAAATTAGGCCTCTGTATCGATAATAATGTTTATTTCAATAAGATTTTCCAAAAAATATTTAATGTACAGATTCGGCTTGGTTACAATTTTATTATATGTATAGATTATTTGAAAGCAACAATCATTGACTTAATATAATACTTAATGCTTAATTTGCTGGTATTATAAGTAACCAATAAAAAAAACAATGCAAATGTTTACATTCTGAATTTGCACTGATATGCTTTGAGCTTATTAACCTTTATATATTACTACTATATCGTGAACAAATAACAAACACACTTGCAACATTTACTTAATATTTAACATAATTGTTGATATATAAATCAAGAACTAGTAGTTCTTCAAACTACTATTTGTCCCAAAACAGAAACATAGATACATTCCAATACACCACTCTTATATTATGAGGCTTGAATTGATATAGTTCTTCGTTTCATTAATGTAATATAGATAATTTCTTTGACAGCCTAAGTTTATTTAAAAAGAAATTTTATTTCAACATTTATATTACTTACTTTAATTTTTTGCCAAATCGGAATCGTTTTTTATACAACAATATGGAATTAAAATAACGTACATATATCAGTATTGTTGTTTTAAACTCGTGTTATTACATAAATTTATTGAGTAAGTCTTTAAAAATAAATTAATTTATAAATAACAAAAGACTCACCCTTGCTTCGCTCGGGTTCGTCCCTAGATGCCTTATAACGGTTTGTATGGAATATGTTGATTATATATAGGTATGATGAGTTTAATACCCCTTACTTGAGAAATGGTTGATTCCCCATACAAAGTTCCACTCCCTTAGGGGATGATTGCTGGAATAAAAACTATGTCCTTCGCAGGATCTCAAACTATCTCCATACCAAATTTCGTCTAAATCGGTTCAGCAGATTAAGCGTGACATGGTAACAGACAGACAGAGTTACTTTCGCATTTATGTTTATAGTATGGATTTTCTATTCCAGGCGTGAACGTGAAGAGATAGAGCGTCAGCGTGCAGCGGCGGCGTACCAGAAGGCGCACGCGGAGGGCAAGACTGACCAGGCGCGGGCGGACCTCGCGCGTCTCGCCATCATCCGCCAGCAGCGCGAGGAGGCGGCCAAGCGACGCGAGGCGGAGAAGAAGGCTAAGGAAGAAACCACTAAGAAAAGGTAATTTGTAGACCTGCATCGAATATTCGGCTATTATTCGGTATTCGGCCTACTTTTATCCTATTCGGCCGAATACCGTATAATAATATACATTTCTGTGTATATTATACTGTGACGCACGAAATGTCGAGCGTTTAAAGTGTCCGTAACGGTATGGTATTTAGATTGTTTTTCATACTAAATTTTTGTTTCTTGGAGCTGGATATTTTTTTTTACAATTATGTAAGATTCGAATTGTATTCTTTTGTCTTGAGTTTTTGTATATCAATGATTATTACACATAATTATAATGTAAAATTTAAAAATAGATTTAAAAATATTGTACAAATACAGGTGTTATATTTTCATAAACAACTTTTGGTTCGTAACACTATATTAGTATTGTTATAAATATATCAAACATGAATTATATTCCAACCCAATTGAAAAAAATTGCTCTAAAGGTGATTTTCACGATCCATTTCACTTAAATACAATTTGTGCTATATTCTTTAAATTTGGTCAATTTGGTAGGTCTCTCGCGTGAATCAGTAGACAATTCTGTTGTCAACAGTCCAAATGTGTAACTGAGGGTGACAAAAAAAAGAATGTGGACACTGTACATAGATAGATGGTTACACTTGAATATATCGTTCAAGTCAACAATAATTATAGTGCAGAGTCATCGATCTAAAAAGTACTAGATATACAATTGGACCGACAAAAAATGTCCTCACCGAATGAGCGCTCATACGATTCAATTTACATTGCTGTATATTTATTTCAACTAGAATAATTATCTAAACACAATTGGTGACAGTTTTAAGAGAACTTTTGCATGGGATTGCATATTTAGTACTTTTTTGATCGATGTGCTCAATTAATACTTAATATATAATGAACTTTCTGCACGTATTGAATTAATATTATTTAATAAATCATAATATTTAATTTTATTTGTTGCAGATAGATAAATACTCATCATTAGTCATCTATGACAGGAATGCCATAATTTGTAATTTGGCGGCTTCAATTCCATTGTCTCTGATCCTTTTGTGATATTTGTTTTGTGTAATTCCATTTTAAATTGCATAATAAAAAATCAATATGTAGCTAAAATATAAAAAAATTACAATAACTGTGTATAGGAATGTCCTCGTCCATGTAATTTGACTGCCATTTTTTATCGACTCGACAGATATCACAAAAAAGTAACTTTTTTAATACAGATTATAAATTGACACCACTATCTGTCAATTGGGTAGATTTTCTACTGCACAATTATAAATTAAACAATTTGTTGTTAAAAGAAAAGTTTTGTATTTTTACAAATATGATACAATGGAAAAACTAACGTACTATAAATATTTTGAAGAATGCAATAACACGCTAAGAAAGTGCAATTTTAGTGCATAAAATTGTTTTTAATTATTTTATCTCATCGATTAATTTGTAATATGCTCCTAATTAATATATTTGTACAAGTTTTTACAATAATTAAAATATGTATGTATATTGATCTGTTATTTTTATTGATAAATTCTAAGAGAACTGGCATTATGGTATTTTTACTTACAGAAAAATTTAAAAATAAATTATGATTTTTATTTATATACTGTGATTATGTTACTCTGATTGTATCAATATTTTAACTGTAATGAATGCTTTGTTCCATTTTTTTAAATAAAATATATTATCGTTTTATGTGAGGGCCATATATAAAAAAAACCATTTAATATGACCTTTTTATCTGTCAACATTTTTTCTTTTCAAAGACTCAATGCCGGTACTCTATATAGAATACACATGCATTCTCTTAAAAAAATATTGAAATTTTAGTCTTAATTACTGTTTACTTGGTTGACGACAATGAATTTATAATTTAATAGGAATATTACATACTGTGTAACGAATGTCCTACTTATTTGTGAATAATAATTATTAAATACATGAATTTTATAGTTTACTATATTTTCAATTCCACCTATATTCTGTATGAATTTGCTTAGAACTAATTGTTAGATAGTTTCATTAGACAATTTTTATATGCAAATGTATCTGTATAATAAAGTATGGAACTGAATGGCTCTTGTTTCTCCTATTTTACGTTTAATATGAATAATATATTAGCAAAATTGACTTTCAAAGAATTAAATAGTTTTAGTTTTATCTACACTAATATTATAATGAGGCAGAGTTTGTTTGTTTGTTTGAACACGTTAATCTCAGGAACTACTGATCCGATTTGAAAAATTCTTTTTGCATTAGATAGCCCGTTTGTCGAGGAAGGCTATAGGCCATTGTATCATATTATATAGTCGTATCTATTCCAGACTAACCGTTAAAATACATCTACCTAGAGACGAACCCGAGCGAAGTGAGGGTGAGTGAGAATATATATAGTTCTAATAATTTTTCAGAATATTATTTTAAAGAATAAAAAAACGAAGTGATAGAAATGTTTATGAGTTATAGATCAATCAGTAAAAGTAAGTATATTTAAAAATATTAAAGATGATGAGACGACGTGGTCCTGAGATGCCGTAAATGAAACCTCTAAATACCATCGGTAATTATTTACTGTATATTATTAGGAATTACATATTCTCCTTAATAATTTAGCTGACCTTTTAATCCCAATATCATAACTTTTTTTTTTGTTTTATAAGGAAATCTGCAAGCAGTATTTACTTTTAGCAGATATGTTCTAAGATTTTAATACCATAACTTGATTTTAAGTTTTGTACATGATTTTCTTCGATAGATACAGAACAGAGCCCAGAGGGTTCCGTACCCCAAAAATGGAATCCTTAGGTATACTCTTCGAGTGCATTTTTCAAACCCTGTTTTCCAGAAATAAATCTACCAAATGAAAAAACAGACGTTGAAATTTCAAATTATTACATGAAAGTATTTCTAAGGAACACAAATGATATTTTATTGATATTTTTAAATTTACATATATTTTTTAATTTCGTTGTCTAACGGCGACTTTTTAACGTGCAATGGACGCGCTATCGACTCTTGCTTGACGCGCGATTATACCTATCGGTTATCAATACGAACGCAAACAATATGCATTTTTTAAATTTATCAACGTAGATTAAGCGGAGACGGCGTAATTTTATTATAATCGTACGCGCGATGTGGTCGAGTTTAAGAAATGTGGCTTGCATATACCCGTTTAACTTTAGCAGCACAGAATACACGAACGCGCGTTAAAAAATCTTCGAGTAGACCCTTAAAGAATATTAACGAAAATTGAACTCTCAATTTAATGTCAGTTTACAAGCAACTAGTGGCGTGTTTATATATTTTTTTTAATTTTTACCAAGTTATTATTGTTATTTTAAAATGCAATCGTACCTACTTTAGTATAACAAGTAATACACGATACATATATAAAAAGCTTTTATTTTTGGTATCAAGTAGTAGGAATGTAACAAATTCAGATATTACAGAATAGGTACATTAAACTGAAGAGAAAAGAGTATGATCAAAGGTCTCATGGGTAATTTTAATATTCAATAAGCGATAAGACGAAATTGCTCTAAAGTATAAAACCAATGTATGTATGTATTCAGCCCTTTTTAACGTCCCACGGGCCTCCCTTTAATACTGATCAGGCCATAATCCACGACGCTGGCCAAGTGCGGGTTGGCGGACTTCACATGTCTTTTGAAAACTTGCTAGGTTCTCTCAGATGTGCAGGTTTCCTCACGATGTTTTCCTTCACCGTTAAGACAAGTGGTAATCATGTTTGAAATAATTCGCACATGAAAATATCAGAGGTGCGAGACCCGGGATTTGAACCCTCTTCACTCTGTTTCCCAAACAAGCGCGTTACCACTGGGCTACTACTGTCTCAAAACCAATATTTCTATCATATCCATATCTTCATTATATAATATGTATTTCTTTCTATTGTGTCTATCCCGCAAAGGACAACTTAAAGTTGTAAGCTATTTACATTGTAGATACGAGTATATTTGTGCCTTCCCAATGGCAGTAATTGATCTATTATTAATAAGGTAATTAAGCTCTCAAATGTAACAAATTACCAAGTATCCCGCAGTGACGAGCTAAATCCGTAAGTCCGTTTGATTCATTGCTAATCTGAAAGTTTTGCCATAAATCTTCACTTTAACGGCACATCTACTATCTCGTCGATAAAATAAGTATTTGTCAAGTTCTCATCAACTTTGGAAGCAATCTAAGTAATTTAAAAGTTTTAAAACCCTAATCGAGCACGGATTGTAAGTCTGACTTAAATTGTCTTGGTATTTAATTTCAATTATAATTTTATAAATAAACGACGTATCTCACTGTTAGATATTTTAAAATGCGATTTGTATAATTTGCTTTCAGATACTTTTAACCGACTTCCAAAAAGGAGGAGGTTGTCAATTCGTCGGAATCTTTTTTTATGTATGTTCACCGATTACTCGAAGACGCCTGAACCGATTTGGAATTTTTTTTTGTTTCAAAGGGTATACTTTCCAGGTGCTCCCATATAAATTTTTATCGAAATCGGTCGAGAGGTTTTTTAAAAAACCAACAATGAATATATTTTTTTAAATAAATTGCTTATTCGAATATGTTATTTCTTATAAATTACCTGCTTATTACGTCTACACTAAAAATGCAAAAATAAAAACTAAAAAAAAAAACTGACTTCCAGGCACTAAAATATAAAAAATAATTAAACGGAGGTTTTCATTTAGAATAGATACCTAATCAGATATTTTCGAAGTCGGTGCCAGCCTACAATAGTTTAAAATCTAATAGGTAAATAAGTAATATGTATTTTACGTATCGATTAATATGTATTAGATTTGCTTTACATCGGGTGGCACCGACTTCGAAAATACATATATGATTAGGTATCTATTCTAAATGAAAACCTCCGTTTAGTTATTTTTTACATTTTAGTGCCTGGAAGTCGGTATTTTTTTTAAGCTTTCATTAACTTAACGTAGACAAATTATATACTATGTACGCCGAAGTTGTTACAAAGAAAGAACCATTCAAGTTTTATCAGTTTTCGTGGTAAAAAAAATATGAAAAGTTAAAACGCATTGCAGTAGTTACTTCCCAAGCCGGTACGCTAACTCATTTTGCGTCCATTTTGGGGAGATGGCATAGTTCCCTGGAGAAAACTGAGTGCCCGCAAATTAAGGTACGGCGTAAATTGCTATTAAAAATACCGTACTGAGGCTGTGGAGGAATTCTACAGAAAACTTGCAAAATTTTTTAATTAAAGAGTTCGAACAATTGCCTACTAGTAAAATGGTTCATCGTCTGTGCGTAACATTTTTAATAAAGAGATTGATAACAAATATGGTATAATATTAGGTAGGTAATATGGTGTAGGTAGATTGTAGGTACGCCAGCGTATCGATATACAATGAATGCACTGTTTTCTTAAATTGTATTAAGAAACAATGAAAATATAAAAAAATATATTGATTAATATAAAATATTATTTAAGGGATAAATAACACAATTTTAGGTAGGTAATAGTTATATGAAAAGATCAATTTTATATAATTAAATGTGATGCCTTTTGAATTTTGATTCCATCAGGGAATTATAAAACTAACTTGATTCTTTATGTGTTGAATTTTTCAGTTATTATTTAAACAGCGGGCGGACTACATAGCTTTCATACACTATATATATATATATATATATATATATATATATATATATATATATATATATATATATAATAGGTACCTACTGCAGTAAACATTTAATGTTAAAATGATTTAAAAATAAGAAGTTATGAATATTGCATCGCTTTGCTAAGTATTTACTTCATATTTTAATATATCTGCACGCCTGAAAGTCTGACTGTGGAGGTGCAAAGGCCGTAAATTTTCATTATATGCGCGCGGCTCGCGGCAACCGTCAAACTATGCTAATTTAACATACACCTCCCACGGGCTGCACTTGCTGGCTACA